ATATTTAGTACGATATTTATGATGATTTTACAAATTTAAATGGATATATTTAACGCATTTTGAGAAAATTAATTATCAGTATAGAGAGAGAGAGAGAGAGAGAGAGAGAGAGAGAGAGAGAGAGAGAGAGAGAGAGAGAGAGAGAGAGATTTATTACATTGAGAAAAAAATTTACTAAATTTCAAAAAACGTTTGTTTGGATAGTACTGTGAAGATATTTGTTTAAATTAAGTAATTATTTTATAAAATTAAAGAAACAAATTTATATTTAAAACTTCTTTATTTAATTTTAGAAAATAATGACTTAATTTAAATAAATATCTTTACAGTATTATCCAAACAACGTTTTTTGAAATTTAGTAAATTTTTTCTCAGTGTAGTAAAGTGAAATATTTGCTTTTTTTTTAACTATATATATATAGCGCGCAATTGGAGATATGCAAGAAAAAAAAAAAAAAACGAAAAAATGCAAATGGAAGGATAAAAAGAAATGAAAAGTATAATAGAATAAGTGAAAAATTTTCGATAAAGACCTTATCATCGGACTATAAATACCAAAAAAATAAGAGAGAGAGACACTCGAGCGAGCTGTTGTCCCGCAGTGTTTTTCATCTCCCCGTCAATAACGCTAGCTATTATATATCGCTATCATATATTATATATATGATAACGCGCGGGGCAAGTCGCGATAATCGAAAACGGTGCACACCGAATTTTGCGCGCATCGTAAAATACAGCACACGACAACTTTCATTTCCGAGCGCTATAAAGTGACCGTTGATGAGTATACGATTGTTTATATGACAAACAACTGCTACCGCTCGTAGCGCGGACTAATCCTTGTTCTGCAAAATGAGTTTAACTTAGCCGACGCGAGCGTTACCCGGCCCGCGGGTAAATGCAATCCGAGTTACGAATGTCTGTTGAAAGGGCGGAGTGTTGGTGTCCGGAATAAAGTGAGCATACAACGTACCTCGCTCCAAATCGATCGGCGATGAGAAGGAGTTCCGCTCGGCAGATAACCTCGCGCGTCCGCGCCTTTAGACTCGGCCAAAGTACAACATGCAATTTCTGAAACAGATAACAATGGCCAATTTTGAAGAAAGAGATGAATGTATGCGCGTTCGCTTCCTCAAAATACAGAATATAGCAGCAAATAATAATCGTGCGCTTCACGCGCATTAGAACATAATAATTTATTATAATTATTATCGTATTAATATCTGTTTTGCTCTATTGTGTTTCACGCGTTGCGTTTCTCCTTGAAAATCCACTGCATTACCGTTACTACGTCATAATCGCTGTTATCTTTCACTTTTATGCCATTTCTTTTGTCTCATGTTACTCCATTTTGCTTTATTTGGAACAAAGCAATTTTGCATTAGCTGCAGAGCTGTTGCCGCGCATTTTTGCAAATACACGTCAGACTTGACCGCGCACACTGCAACTAATGCGTTCAATAAATATTACCACTGCTATCATCGAGCAGTGACTTACTGATATTAAAAGAAAATACTAAATTAATAACTGACTAAACCAATAAATTATTATTATTATTAGTAATGAATTAATGAATTGGACGCGCGCGTGAACGGCGAAACGCCAAATGACTCATCCGATTGGAGCATTAAGAACCGCGTAGTTCATTCGCGACCATTCGTTAAGGGCTCGTGGATTATTAAGGGACTCCCTCGACTTCGGGCGCTACCCCCATCCTACGGGCGCATAATCTGCATAACTCTGGGCGGCACGACTGCTCGTGTTTTATCCGCACTTACACAGAAACACGGGAAGACGTCTTTGAATGGCACGGTAATCGATCAGCACTCGTTCGCATAAATTTCGCCGTGAACGTCGAGACGCCGGCGTTCAAACGACGCTGCTGCACTGAATATCTCTTTAATAATTTCATCGTGCGCGCGCGCGCACGTATTCGTATCCTTTCATCCTTTGGGAGGGTAATCCCTCGTGTCTGAGTAGACTCCGTTCGTGGCAAATGGGCCGGAATAGACGGAATTTTATCAAGTGCGCTCAAATCCTTAAAAATACTACCTTTATACGCGAATGAAGGCCGCGCGCGCGCGAGTCACTATTTTTCCATCATATTCAAGAAAAACAATTATTTCAGCTGCCTCCCCGGTATTCCGTCCCGGTCGAATTCTCGATCGATAATAGAGGGACGCGACAATGCGCGCGCCCTCTTTTGCATTTTCATCGGGAATTCGCGTCGCGAAATTTTTTTCGGCACTCCCACCATTCCCCACGGCGACGTCCGACGTAGCCAGTTATCTTTTCTTATGCAGAAACTCCCATTACCGTGGGAGAGACGCAACTTCACGGAAACGGAAAAGAGGAGCTAAAAAGAACGCGCAAACGGAAGAAAGATCTCGAAACCAGGTAATTTGCGCTCCCAAACAAGAATTCCTCGTAAAACTTTCAATCCAGTTTCCGTGCTTTCTCGTAAAATACTCCGTATTTCTCTCATGTCGCTTTACGAGAGATCCCCGCGCGCAGCAGAAACGGAGAATCCGACTAATTCATTCGCTGAATGTACTTGAGTTAATCCGCATTAAAAAGAACCGCTCAGCAGAGAGCGCAGTTGCGAAAGGTGATGCACATTAGCACTCGATCATCGTTCAGAGAGCGCTCTTCAAGTGCTCACACGCCGTAATAATCAACAAAGCGCGGCGCGTGAATTTCACTCGGCGAGCCATGAAAAACGTCCCGATCGGTTCCCTGAATTTCGCGCGCGAAAAAGGAAAACAACAGGACTAGGGTGAGAGATTCGCGAGATCGAATTAAAGAAGCAGGTTGTCACGTCTGAAAGGGATCACTGGTAGGCCGCTGCGTAAGGCCATCCCCCTGTCCCAGTGCCGTCCCGGACACTTTATTCCTCCTCAGAGGGCCGAAGAAATTGAATGCAAATAGGCAAACACAGTTTCTCTCTGTCCCTCCCTCTCCGCTCGGGGAGAATCATTCTCTGCAGTTCGTCGCTTCGAAGTCGCTTTCAACGACGAGTCGAGTCGAGTCGTGTCGTGTCGAGGAAACGCCACGTGTGGCACTGAAAAGAGAGACGTCGTCGACTGACAAGACGTGGAGGAGGGTAGTAGGTACGAGCGGGACAGGGCGAGGCACTCTGGTGCGCAAGCAAAACGGACCGCCACTCCGACGACGCTGACTCACACAGACGGTCCCCCGGGGTTGACTCTTTATTAATTCACCATGAGACTAAACGGAATTACTTTACACGCGCTGGAGCGCGCAGCCTCTAGCCCGGCGGTCCCGCTCGTACCCTAAGTCGACGACACTTTACCGGAGCTTAGTTCGGCTTAGCGGCTGGTGAGAGAGCGGATCCGCGTTCCTCCCGACGGCGTAGCGTCGCGCGATCTCGCGTTTCCCTGCGCATCGCAGTTTGGGCACGAAAGAGCGGGGTAGGTAACTCGAACTCTCCGTGCCTCGCGCTGCGAGATTCATCGGATTCGTTTGAACGGCGAGCTTGTAGCCGTCTAATGAAAATTAAGTACCGGAGAGCGCGATCGACTGTGTACGGTAGACGTGCACTCGATGTGTGAGTAGCACAGAGGAAGAGCTCCGGATATGGGTTGCCACTTTTTCGTTTGTTCGAGACTTAAAGAGATGCTCTGAAGTGGAGGACGAACTCGAGAAATATCGACAACGTAGAGACACTCAACACGATCGTGCTATCCTTTTCGTGTACACACCGCGCCAAAATAGCTTTGATATTTTTGCCATTAGCATCGATCGAAAATCTCGACCAATGCATCTATAGATATTCGTGTAACATTGACATGTTATATGAAACAAATTACTTCTCGAAAGTAAAATCGATATGTATATGTGTATTTCAGCACTCCAATTTGGGATATAGTTCTCCTTGAGAGATACGATTTATCTTGAGAAATATTTCTAATCACTTTTAACTTTCAGGAAAACGTTTTCATGTGACACTTCCCTTGCTTTCGGAAAATAACCTGTCTATAGCATGTCTAATATAGCATGAGAAGCTGTCAATGGTCTGTTATTTGTAGCTGCACTGCTGAGCTGGTGTAGTAAGTTAGGGAGTGAGATAAGTATATTTTTTTCTCACTCTAACTTATGGCACCGATTCAGCACTGCAGCTACAAAGAACAGACCAAATGCCATAGCTGCTTCTAGACAACGTTATCACTGTTTTGGAATAGTCGACAATCATGATGTACGAATATACAGATGCTTTGTTTGTGGTCGAGATTTTCGAGATTGATGCTAGTGGAAAAAATGATAAAGCTATTTCGGCGCAATGTATGTATATATAGACCTTATATAAATATGTGCTGTTCTGTCTCGCCATGTGCCAGCAGAAAACATAATCACGCGCGTACATACATAGAAATCTTTCTGCAAACTTTTCGTATACTTTTCAACTCTTGCATTCAGCTGTAAAGATACAGAAATGTTCCTTGAAATTTTCGTTAGAGAAGCAAACACGTGCGATATGTACAAGCCGCGCAGAACTTTTGTATCAAGTAAATATTTGCGTCAACTGACGGCTCGAGAGACGTCACGTTTAAAATTTTTTCTCCGTCATATATTGAACAATGCCCCAATTTATTATTGCACGAACTTTCAGTGTGTAAATGCTTTTGTAATTCTGTATAAATCAATATCACGTAAACTTTGCAGATAAAATCAGTACTTTGTCGGTAAGATTTTCAAGCATCCCCTTAAAATGTTTAAACTTATTGTAAGCGAATATACGTGCCATCAGATAAGTGGGATATCTACTTTAGTAGATTGTAAAGATATTTTTAATTTTGGATTTCTAGTTATTTACATTCTAAAAAAAAAAAGAAATTTGCACTATTTGAAAAAGGAGTCCTAAACATGGATTATAATTTCAACATACATAGGAGAGATAAAGATACATTTAAGATAAAGATAAAATTTATTAAGATAAAGATACATATTTTATCTTATATTTCATAATTTGTTCTCATAATATTCTCATAATATTCATCGACGCAAATCGCATATATAATCATCATATCATCATATCATCTTGTGTCTGCACAATCACATATATTGCTCATGTGTGCTCACGAAGAAAAGCGCATATTAAATACTATTCCCACAATTTTCCCTTTGTAACATCAGAGAATTTCTTATTGTAAAATAGACTTTTTACATCATTATTTCCTCCGAATTTTCCCTTCCCAAATAGCATGTCACTGTCATTTACTAACTCATGTTAGATCTATCTATGATATTCGCAACATCACATCATGGATGTCACGAGGTTATATTGGCGAACACGATGTACATGGACAGAGAAAAAGCGATGTAAACTCGTATTGAAAAAATATGGCGCTAATAAAATTTAATATGCAAAGTTATATTCTGTCATGTGTTAGTATATCAACGTCGTCGGACAAAGTGCATCCAATTAAGAGGAGTTTATATCAAATAATAAAAATAAATTTTCACTGTAGAAAAATTCTCTCCATCTATCCTTGTACTATTTACTCATAAGCTCATAAACAATTGCATCAAAAATATATATATTTCTGAAGAAAAAATAAAATATACATGTCTCTGTGTACAAACTTGCGGATACCGAAAAACAGAAAATCTTGTATAATGTCTAAGCCGATTCAAAAACAGCCGTGCACTCAAGCTTTGTTACACCTTAACAAAAGAATTACTCAAATGCTTTTCGGTAGAGTGTAGCATGCAAAGTCAAAACACTGGTAGCTCGGATTTGGATCATGGTCCATATTTGAACAACGTGTAACTGTAACATACGCATATAACTGTAACAAATGAACGGAGTACCATTTAGTGCGGCCCAAACGGCTACCGATTCAGGCATCGATTTCGAAGTTGGTTATTCGATGTAACGCTCGCCTGTATCCAGAAACCAGGTACAGAATCAAATACCATCTCGTACAGCCCTAAAATACGCGATACGTTCAATCTGCGATGATAATTTCATCGGAACTAGGATACATTACACTTGCGCGTCTACGATTCAGCTTACTTTCGAACTTGCAGTTTCCCTTCGCCATCGTGCTGCCAGCAAAAAGAAAATGTTCTCAACAACAACACGCTCCCTCCCTTTTTCCGGTTTCCGCTTAAAAAAGTCTGGAAGAAAAGTTCCAAGTTCTTTCAACTGAAGTTCCTTCTGCGCTGCTTAAGAGGAGGGGTCAATACTAACAAGCGGAGCGCGAGTAGAGAATCGTAACGGGATTATACCGCGCGAAAATGCACACGTCGCTCGCCTCACGTGGCGCGCTCACGTGCCGCGCACTGCGAACATGTGCGACTGCGGGGTCAGGAGGAAGAGGTCAGAAGAGAGGACGGGGGTGTGCGTGTATGTGTCAGAAACGCCCGGTAATACGCAAAATCCGAAAGTATCCGGCGCTCGGTATGGTCACGGTTGTACCCGTTAGCAGGCTAATTGGAATCCAATCAGCGCGATTAATCGTTTAACATGCCGCGCGCACGTACCGGCCCGCTGGGGGCTGACGGCGTTTAGGTATTTAACGGCGGGAAACCGCGCCGTCGATGCGTGGGCGTGTACCTCCGGCTATATTTTACGTTTAGTCCCGCTCCCTGCCGCATGCAGACGATCGCCTCCCGGCCTCGTAGATCCTGCTAGCACTAGGAGATTCTCCTACGCGCTATCTTGGCCGCCGTCGCGAGTGTACGAAGGGGGAGAAAAAACAGAAAACGACGAATAGTGCTGGGACTCTTCATGGATGCGCGTCTGCTGAACAGCCTCAAGAGGGGGACACAAATACGTTATCGCGAGTCATATCGTCCGGGGAATTGAGCTGAAAGTATCAACGGACTTAATCTTGGATATTCTTACTGTTTTGATCAAGTATATACCAGGGCTGTGCAAATGGAAGATGCAGAGGGTGCACTGCACCGGAGCTCCCGGAGTCAAGCAGCCCCGGCACACTCCACCCACTTGTACACATAAAGAGTCACCTAGTTAGAATGAGCGTTTTCCATTTAGTAACATAAGTCGGCGCAAGCATCATCCCATCTTTGTTACTTACCGATAAGTTTTGATAATACTTTCTAAGCCTCTTTAAAGTTTTTTAATTTGATACAGATAAAAGATCCCTTTGTACCAGGGCCTCGGAAGACCTTTGCACGGGTAAATAGATAAAAATCTGTTAAATACGAATATTTGCAATTTAAAAAGTATATATATATTTATACACATATATACACGTATTCTATGTTGAAAGTTTAAATATCCGTAATGACCAAAGCAATAAGACACAAAATTATTAGGTGTATTAAAAGAAAAAGTATCCAAGAAATACGAAATATTTATTCGATGGGGCACGCTAAAAACATCTCCTCTTACTTTTATATTATAATTTATATTTTATATTATAACAATAGTGAATATTTCTCTGATGGTTACTGATATATTCATTTAAATCTATATTCTTCTATTCAAGTAGAATAAACAATTGCTCTCGTGAAAAGACAAAATTTTCTTAAGATTTTGGAAAAGTGTACATTTTCTTACTTGAAAAATATTTTATATATTAATATAAAATATTTTTCAAGTAAGAAAATGTACACTTTTCCAAAATCTTAAGAAAATTTTGTCTTTTCACGAGAGCAATTGTTTATTCTACTTGAATAGAAGAATATAGATTTAAATGAATATATCAGTAACCATCAGAGAAATATTCACTATTGTTATAATATAAAATATAAATTATAATATAAAAGTAAGAGGAGATGTTTTTAGCGTG